GACTGGAGAACAATTTGGAGATGGCAAGGCCCTGCTCGGGTTTACGACTTCCTTTGGATGACGACCTGGGACTACATCTTCACCAACTTAGAACATGAGCGACGTCATTTGGCTTCCTTATCCTTGTGCTCTTAATACAAGGCCCACCCTGAAACAATCATGCATGTGTTGCGAGATAGTCCTTTCCCTAGGTTAACTTGGTTGCAAGTCATCCAGCCTTCTGAACACCAAAGTTCTATGGGACTTCATATGCAAGAATGGCTTCTGAAATATTTTCGACATCAGTACACATACCTCATGTTCGACATTACCTGTCGGCACTACATTCAAAATCACGCTTTAAATCTAAAAAATTATACTTTTACACTTCTCCATTACCAACACGCTTCTACATAGAATCATGCTTTTGACTGCATTGCCTGACTGTCCCTTCGGAGGACCAGAAACAACCGTGTCTTCGCAGGAAAATTTGTCTCAGCTAAAGTCTTTTTGTAGCGTGTCCAGGCATGGATTAATGCAGTGATGACTAACATGGACAACGATAAGGCCATCCAACAACCAAATCCACATGCTAGAATGGAAGAGTTGATCTCTTAGATGTCGCCTCCTCTCGACTGGGTTACTCTCAACTGCAATGGCTTCGTCATTCCTTCCTCGGGCCATGCAGGTGCCGGAGGCCTGATGAGAGATCACACCGGATGCTGCTTTGCGGCTTTCGTCATTAACCTCTGGATTTGCTTCATCACGCGAGTTAAGTTGAGAGACGCTGTAAAGGGACTTTAGCTTGACTTTAGATGCATGGCGACGATAATCGGCATTCAGCAATGGTTCAACGTTTCCAGGCATCGTTAGGGAGAGATTGTGAGGTGTCTCTATCTCATGTTTACAAGGAAGGTAATAAGTGTGCAGACTATATAGCTAGTGGAGCCCATCAGTTCATATATATATATATATATATATATATGTTTGCGTCTTTGATGCACCCATTTTTGGGTGCTCTAAACACACCCACTTTTTTGTTTAATTTTAACCGTTAGATACATCTAACGGACGGTTACAATAATTTGCTTTGTTCATAATTAATTATTAGCTAATAAACTAAAAAATCTAGAAGTTATCATATACTAGATAGGATCAATGAAACCACTTGGAAACTCAGAAACCATTAAAAACTGTAGCAAATTTTTTTTTGTGTGTTTCTGGAATCGAACTAGTAACCTTCTAGCCACTAAGGAAGGAATTAGCAACTTAACCAGCTTCACCAGCTGTAATTAGAGTTAATGAAAGCACTTTGCTCAATTTTAACATTTATTGACTGCGTGCACTGGCAGCAACATCAATTTTTTTTAGCGGTGCCTACTATGGAAACTTGGAAGGGGATCACTACAATTCTGAAACATCAAGGTGGACTCTTAAGAGCCTTCAAGGCACTTCCCGAGAGTAAAGAGAGGGGGGGGGGGGGGGGGATGAGTTTGAACCCCACTTGGATGATGATTTAAAGGCTTGGTGATCTTCCTTCTTCTTCTTCTTCTTCTTTAAAGGAACCAAATGTAGAGGAGAGGGGTCATAGGACCCCACTTGGAAAAAAACAATGCAATAAAATCTTTTAGATATGTAGAGTTTAGTATAATCCTTTGTACTAAGGATCCCATATTTTTGTTGATGTTAGCTCATCTAAGGACACCAATCAACTCAAAGTTCATTAGATACACATATTAAAGTATTTTAAATTTTTTAAGGACCCCAGTCAATTCAAAGTCTGGCTACGCCACTGTATATATATGAATTAGAAGTGAAAGGAAAGGAAAGAGGGAACATATAATAAAGATCTAGCATACTCTCTATAATCCCAACAAAGGTTAAGAACCCATACAAACATGATCACAAAGCCCAAATCGTCAAACCAACTCACCGAAGTTCGTTCGCCGGAGGTCTTGCCGTAAGTTGTTCGTCAGCAAACCAGTGCCACCAAAGGCTATATTAGCTTCGATGCTTGATACAGTTACAAAGAGAAAATCACCATGAGCATTACCGAATTTACGAAATCGAATTCCGAGATCACACGAGTGAGAAATAAGGCCGAGAAATTGGTAGTGAGGTAAGGGAATTTCTAGTTTTCTGCAGATTTTGGAAAAGCAGAAAATTAAGAATTCATCCATAATTTCGTACTAACGATAATCAACTCGCAGTTTCTTCGTTTGATGTCCAAACGACGAACCATTTTCGCCTACAGGATTGTAAAAATGAGGAGGACTTTTGGGTACCAACTACTGGAATTTTAGAACTTAATTCCCGACTTGGAATCGACTAGAATTGAGGTGTGTGAGGATTAAGGGGACCTTCATTAGGGAGGTACTATTTGCAGCCCTAAATTTTTAAAATTTCAGCCCTAAATAAACTGAACAGACAAAATTACCCCTCCAACCATTTTCAATCGAAGCCCTAATCCCCTAATCTGTCTCGCCGCCGCCGTTCGCCATTTATGAGCGCCGCCGCCGTTCGCCCTCCCGTCGCAGGAAGCCCCCTCCCTCCAACCCTTTCCTGGATGAGCGCCACCGCCGCCGCCGCCGTTCTCCCTCGGTCACAGTTGGCAGCAACAATCTCCGGGAGAAAGGAAACTGCATTTTGATTTTCAGGGTCGGCTGGTCGCCATCGCTCCAATCGCCCCAATTACCTCTCTCCAATCGCCCCACTGGATGAGCGCCGCCGCCGCCACCGCCGTTCGCCCCACTGGTCGCCATCCGGTCATGCCTTCCGGCTTCCGCTGCGCCGATCCAGAAGCAAGAGAGAAAAATCTCTCCGTTTAAAAAAAAAAAAAAGTCTGCTGGTCAGCGATAGTAGGAGGAAAGAAGGGACCGCCCAGTCGGGTCAAACCGCACGAATTGGTTGGGTCTGGTTGGTCATTTGGATCTTCTCTATTTGGACAAACAACTAACAAAACCAAAAAATAACTAAAATAAAATAATTTAAAAAATAGTTCCTCAAAGGAAAAGGACATTACAATTATTAAATTTGGTTATTTAGAAGCTTAATTAGTAGTAGTCCTTGTTAAAGTAACAAGTAGTATTATGTTTCCTAGTTAGTGTAGGATTTGTTTTTCTATTTCTATAAGGTTAGTTTCATGCTTTTGGAACCTCTATAAATAGAGAGTGTAAGACCTACGAATTTTATAGAACATAATAGCAATCAAGACGTCTAATCGAAGATAATCAAGTTCGATTAAGGATATTTACTTTAGAGATTATTATGAGTAATTCAGTAAGTACTTTGTTTGTTTGTTTTTTGATAGTTCCATTATTGTACCATAATTATTGCTTTTCTTAACCTTATATATATTTACCATATTTAATTGTAGGGAGATTTTGGCGAGAATGAGGGTGACAATTTTGATTACACATCATTGTTCATAAGCGATGTTGTTTATGATACCCATGTCGAAGCTTGTGCGGCGGCAAAGGAGATTGCCCAAAGAAATAGGTTTTTCTTGGTTGTGGAATCAACCAAGCGAAATTATGGAGAAGACTATCCGCGGATATATATGGATTGCAACCATGGTAAGAGGAGCAAATCATATACCCCAGATTTGGCAAAGACAAGACGCATATCAAAATCAGGCAAGCAAGGTTGTCAGTTCCGAGTGGTAGTGCGGAGTTCATTGGTAGATGGCAAATGTAAGTGGAGAATTTTGGGTTTTACGGACAGATATGGGAAGCCAAAGGGATTTCACAATCACAAATTGGAAGTTTATGCTGAAGGAAGCAAGCAAAGGAATGCTCTTTCAAATGAGGAAAAGATTGAAATTAAGGAGTTGGAGGCAACACATACTCAGGCGAAAGATATAAGAAGTTTTATAAATAGGAAGTTTGATGCTCATCACAACATGGATCAAGTTTATAATGAGACAACAAAGATTAGGCGTGAGAGATTGGGTGGTCTTTCCCCTATGCGGTGGACATTAATAGAAGCTGACCGTCTTGGCTACTTCATTGGAGTTGATTTTTATGAAGACCGTCGTGTTACTAGACTCTTCCTTTCCCATCCGGAGTCTATTAAGATGTTGAGCGCATGGTATTTTGTTATTTTGATAGACTCGACGTACAAGACCAACAAGTATAAGCAACCACTGGTTCAGTTGATTGGTGTTAGTCCGGTGAAGAAGAACTTCAACATAGGGTTCGCATTGGTTTCAGATGAGACAAAGGAGACATATGCTTGGGTATTGTCGCAATTGAAGAATGTTCTTGGTGGTCGAAGACCAGATGCGTTCGTCACCGATAAGGAGGGCGGGTTGGGTGTATCCCTGCGTGAGATCTTTCCATCTTCAGCTCATTTACTATGTGTGTGGCACATGAAGAAGAACATTGAAGCCAAGATGATGTCTCTCGGGATAAGTCGAGAATCTGCAGAGGCGTTTGTAGCAGGGCCTTGGCAGACACTCATGAATGCCAACACTCAGGGAGGGTTCCAGCGACGGTGGGTAGACTTGCAAACTAGTGATTGGGGTAAAAATCCACGCTTCATGAACTACTTGTGGGGTGAGTGGATACCATGTGCGCAAAGGTGGGCTCATTGCTACACCAATCGTGTTTTCCATATTGGTAACACGAGCACAAACAGGGTAGAGTCATCTCATTCGTCCTTGAAGAAATGGCTTGCCAGTTCGACCCACAAGATCGACACTCTCTTTCTTAGATATCACACTTCCATTGAGGGAAAAGTGATTGAACTAAGAAAGGACTTAGAGGATTCGCGTTTGAAGGTATGTTCCTTGTTTCTTCAATTGTGTTGATATTCCCCCATATACTCAATTTGATTTTGATGTAGAAATTCGTTCTTTTAAATAGGTATTTAAATTAGCTGACGGTCCGCCATATGGTCACTTGAATATGGAAGTAAGCTTGTGGGCAATTGAGTTGTTGATGAAAGAACGAGCAAGAGAAATTGTTGAGCGATGTGGATGTCGGCTACATGAGACACATGGTCTTACATGTAAATGTAAGATGGATGCACTTAGTGATGCCGGCGTGGAGTTACACCCTCACCACTTACATCGATTCTGGTCATCTTTGGTGTATGAGAGTCCTCCTGATGGTGCAAAATGGGGGGACCATGATGCCACTGAGCGGGGCATTTTTGTAGCCATGGTGGCAGATGTGTACAGGCAAGGACCAGCTGCTGTCCGGAAGGCATCTCAATTACTACTCCCTCATATCCGTCCACAAGTTGCAGGCCTACTAGAGCCTAGGGAGTCAGAGGCTCCAAAGGGGAGACCACCAAAGAGGTCGAACACTAGAGATCCTTCTTGGTTTGAGCACGAGAGGGCACGGTCGGCAAAGAGGAGCAAAACAAATCAAAACACGAAAAAGACACAGAAGACGACTCCTACAGGTTAGCAAATGTCTTATATTTTTTTGTGTAATCATAGTCATTGGTATGTAGCCGTTTCCATTAGTTATTTTTTTTGTCTCAACAGGAGGTGTCTCGAAAAGTCAGCATATGCAAGTCCACAATGAGAGAAATGTGTGTCCCTATCTCCGCTACATCCCACCTAGTGTGCGCCCTCTTCTTTGAGGTTGGTTTGACCCAATTCCAGACGGACAATGTGGTTTTCGGGCCATGTCACATGCGATTTATGGAGACGAGGGACACTACGTACAAATGAGGCAACATCTTATCACAGAAATCAATAATCATTGGGCTATCTATGAGGGAGTTTATCTTTCCAGAGATGGATCGTTGGAGGCAGTACGTCACAGGATTGATTGTCGGACCGCTGGGAGTTGCACCCAAGAGTATTGGTGTGAAGAGGTGGATTTGTTGACATTCGCAACCCTATACAACTGTGCAATGGTTGTTTATGGACTGTATAATGAGCGGGTGACGTATGGGTACACCGTCTTACCTATGACGGCGCCGGAGGGGGTCAATCAACCTAGTCAAGTTATAAAGCTGGTTTTTACTGGGGCACATTGGGTGCGACTATATGTCGGCGAAGTTGATGGGGTGACACCAATACCTCCTTTTAGTCCACAGTGGTCTCACTTCCGGGATATGCTAAGAGTTGCTGATTGGGATTCATTATATGAGGCGGAGCGGCAATTGTATATCGATCTTGGAGGACATCATCCCGCCAATGATGATGAGAGTGATTAAACTTTGCTGCATTATATTTTCCGTTTGAAGATTGAACATTATGTCGAATTAGTTATGGATTTACCTTTCTCCTATGATCAAGTGATTTTTTTTATGAAAGTTAACATTATTTTAAATTTTTAGATATGAAGATGATTGTAATTACCCATTTTTGGATAGAATCATATGGTCTTTAAGCCCTACTTATAAGTATTATTTACTAATCATATAATTTAAGCATGGATTATAGCAGTTCATCACTAATCATATAAATTCATCTCTAATAACAAATGTACATTAATTGTAAAATTTAAATCACTATATTTAAAAATTAAATGTAAATCTCAATGATTGGACATTATCACTAATTAATTATAAAACACAATATTCAAAAAAATTTACATTAATCTTATTTATGAAAATAAAATCATCACTAATAATAATAATAATTGTACATTAATTCTATCTAAATCACTTATTGAAACAACCAAAACCGAACCGGACATAAAGCTGGTCCGGCCATTAATGGGTTCTTCGCTACCCGACCCGCAACCCGCCTGAGGAGTCAGGACAGGCCGGTATCCCTTCCTATGCCGTCGACGACCACTCTGCTTCATCCTCCTTCCTCCTCAACGGCGCCGGTCCGTCTTCCTATATCTGGGAGAACGTCGACCTTCGCTCCTCACCTTCGCTCCGCAGCAGCCGCAGCGACTGAACTCGGAATTCCAGGGCGAACGGCGGCTTGGCTGCGACGGGGGAGCTGGGCGATGTTCATCCAGGGAGAACGACGCCTTGGTTGCGACGGTAGGGCGGGAAGGATTTGGGGGCGATTGGGAGAGGGGGGTTCCTGCGATGGGTGGGCGAACGGCGGCGGCGCTCATCCAGTGGGGCGACTGGAGCGACGGCGACCAACCGACCTGAAAATCAAAATCCTCGTCTCCCTGTTCTGCCTGGGTGTTCATATTCCCGCTTTGGTTTGCGAAGAAGAGAAGGGAAGAGCCGCGGAGAGCAGTTTCCTTTCTCCCGGAGATTGTTGCTGCCAACTGTGACCGAGGATCTTCCGCCGGTTGGAGGGAGGGGGCTTCCTGCGACGGGAGGGCGAACGGCGGCGGCGGCGCTCATAAATGGCGAACGGCGGCGGCGAGACAGATTAGGGGATTAGGGCTTCGATTGAAAATGGTTGGAGGGGTAATTTTGTCTGTTCAGTTTATTTAGGGCTGAAATTTTAAAAATTTAGGGCTGCAAATAGGAATCCAGCTTCATTATTGCATCAATTATTTATGCTTGATTTGCATATTTGGATGGATGCGTTAGTTTGGTTGATGACTTGGTTGTTGATATGATGATTTAATGATTGTTCTTGATTATTGTGGATTTTACGGTGTAAATATCGGTATTTGACATGTTTCACCGTAAAAATGGATTGTTGGGTTTAGTGAGTTTAAAACTGATCAAAGAGATTTTTGTATGTCTAAAATGTTGTTGGGGCAGATTTATCAGAAGATTTCCCCTGAAAATAGTTTACGAGTTAAAAGCTGCATAACGATGAATCTTACGAAAAGATCGGCAAAAACGTGTTTTTATTTATCTTCAAGATTTCGATAACTTTAAAATGGCCAGTTTGGCTTGTTAATTTTTTTTTGTGTTAAAATGAGAGATTGGTCAATTGGTGTAGTTTTATCCTTAAAATGGTAAAAACGAGCTTAATACGAGTTTTGTGGTTAAGACCGAAACTAGTATTATTTTCATGGTTTTTATTTTCTTAAGAATACAAAAACTAGGAAAACTTGTTTTAGGATGATCAATTAATGTTATAGTATTTTTGGGAAATTTTTGGAGTTACCATTTTATCATAATTTAAATTACCCTAAATTATTGGTTAATAATTAATACGAGATATTTTATATTTTATTATCTAAATTGCTTTTTATGATCAGAAAATGATTAAATGAATTATTTATGATTATTTGCATCGAGGATATTCCGTGAAATGGTTTATGAATTTTGGATGAGGAATTGTGATATGGTCCTGCTGCGTACCTTTATTGGAGGATGTGATGATTTATGCGATTTGATATTGGATGATGGGATAGTTGATTTTGAGAAACATTGAGTTGATAATCGACAGGAAATATATATACTAAACGGTTAATTAGTGGTACTGCATTGATTCGGGATTGTTTGTGATGGATGAGAGAAATGAAAATTGTTTGATTCGTGATCATATTATTTCACGTAGACGTAGAAAGGCCCTGCACTTACTCCCACCCCTTCGGATTGGGTAGAATTAGCTCTCTTCTGCGATTGAGTGTTGTGGTTGAATAAAACCACGGATTGAGTGTTGTGGTTGAAAACCACGGATTGAGTGTTGTTCATGAGAACCAAAGATGATGATTTGCTCGAGCGGGGGTAAGTGTATGGTGACCTTGGCACCATTAATAATTGGTTCGCTTGTACTATCACGCTGGAAAGTGGCTAAGTGTAACCACCTACTAATGGGTAGTATAGCGGGTTTAACTTTAATTGTCAACCCGGGTCCTAGATGTGATGACTACTCCGTGAAGTTCTTATTATTTAGCGGTTTAACTGTAGTGAATTGTTAACTAAACTGAATGAACACAAAGCAGTAAAAGTTGTAGTTAAAGTTTGAGAGACGTCACCTAGATATGGTTCCCCCTAGATCACAGTTAAGTCAGGTTATAATTGTCCAAGTCCAGATTCAATGACAGTTATATTGTGGAAGGTTCTTATTCAGTCTGTTGTCTCGACTAAAGGACTCCAGACCCTCTCAATGTGAGTACCCGGCGGGCGACTAACCTCCACCAGAGTAAACAAACTAAGGCCCTAACATTCAAAACCTCCTATACTGGAGTAAATCTAGTACAGAGCAGCGAATTGACTCCTCGACTAAAGTAGTCAATTCATAACCTTCAATTAAGGGTGCTCTATCAACCTAGGCATATATTCTCTTTAGGTCAAAGCAAGAAACACACGAATTTGATCAGGATTCATGCAGTTCAGAAAATCATGCCTCAATTGAATATAATCGATGTGAAAGAACAAGTACTTGGGTTCGTACAACCAAACCTAACATAAAAATCTAGGGTTCTTCATACCCAGTTGAGAGAAAGAGTTTACTCCATAGAAAGAGAGGAAATAAGCTTCATATGCAAAAATCATTATGTGAACGATGAAAATCAGCTTCTAGTTGTCAATCGACACTTCTCCAAGCTTCAATCGAGCTCCAATGGTGTTGAACTTCTATCTAGGTCACTTGGAGGCTCTGTTCGTCACTTTCTCTCTCTAGGTTTTTTTGCTTGCTTTCTCCAAAACTCGGATTCTTTGCCAAAGAGCCCAAACCTTGCTCTAAACAGCAGTAGCTTGCGATACCCGCTCCAAATACTTGATCGGATATTCATGGGGACCGGCCGGGTATTTCAAAAGGCTGTGCACCAGGGAAGGGGGAATCCTGATCCTGGGCTGAAATACCCGATCGGGTATATTAGCTTCGCGGCCGGGACCCAATCTGCTTCCTCGGCCTCCAAAACGATTTTAGCCGGTCTCCCTTCACATTAACCCAATCGGGTATTTCTGTGTCTGACCGGGTATTTCAGCCTCCAACTCCTCTAGGCACCAATTCTCCACTTTCTAACCCGAAACTCGCTTCCTCGCCTCCATGTCCACGCCAAGTCCTGAAATATGACATAAACGCACAAAGTATAATTAGATCTTATACTTCAGCATCCTCCATATCCCTACACTATCTCCCTAGTTTGCATAGTACTATAAAGACTGTCAATTCAAAGTATAATGAGATGGTCATTGCAAGGAACACATGCTTTGAGCCCTCAAATCGAAATTTGGACAGTGGACTAGGCTTCAAGCACACAAACATAGCTAGAAAGTTAAAGAGAAACATCCCCCCACACATAAGGAGGGCAACGATGTTACTGGGAAGAGGGAAAGTGGACCATTTGAAGAGGAGGAATAGACTGTAGCAGGACTGGAAAGTGGACCAGTCGAAGAGGAGGAGGACTGGAAATGGGACCAGCCGAAGCAAGATCGCAAGCTAGACCAAAAACAATCACTCAAACACAAAGGCGTTAGGTAGAGTTGCCAGACTAATAGTACATCATCCAAAAGAAAAAAAAAACAAACCAAACACACAAAAATCCAGTTTGCACTCCGTGCCGAAAGAAAACGCACGACTAACACAGCAAAAATGCCAACGAGTATAGCCTACTTCAGGTGGTCGACGTCGATATGGTCCATGAGGTCGCCAAAATCCCCCGGCGGTGGTGGTGATGGGGAGTGGTCCCACAGAGTGGTCCAGTGGTGCTCCTGCAATGGATGACAGGACTGAAGCAGGTGCTCATGCAACTCCATCATCTGATGGCTACAGCCTCGCTCCCGCTCGATGTGAGCAATGGAGACACCCTCCTGTGTCTCTAGGCGGTCGAGCCGCTCGTTTAAGCTAGCAAACCTAGCGGCGTACTCACCCTGGTGGGCTGAATACTACTACTTAAATTGGAGCTGGTGTTTAGTGAGCTGTTGGTTCTTGTGCCCAAGCTGCTGGAACTGGTGCCCCATCTGATGGAACTGCTCAGTGAAGAAATCCATCGACGGAATAGAAGGACCGGAGGAGGACTGGTCTCGCTCGAGTCTCCTTCGTAGAAGAAGGTCCCCTGGGGGGGGGGGGGGGGGGGTAAGTGTGGACTCCGGCTCATCTTTATCCATCGCCCAACCAACATCATCAACGTCATTCGCAGTGTCCTCCTCCTCAGTATAATCATCATCATCCTTGTCCTCCAACAGGAGTGCGTTGTGAAGCACATCCCTGCTGAAGGAAAGGAGCCTCCGTGCCCTATGGCATCAGTCAACCCCTCAAAGTTGATCTCGAAGTGGCACGCAAGACGGGTGATCAGGTGATCACAAAAAAGATAGGTTGGTTTAGCGTGGCACCGGGCATAGGTGGTCACCACGAAATACCCCAAGTGCAGTAGGTGGTCGAGATCCCTCATGGAGTACATGGCGTAGAGCACACACTTCGGCCTCTTATGCGATCCGGTGGCGTTGGGGTTGACCGGACGGGTGAGCAGGAGGTTGATGATGGGTCACTCGGGTGGATGGTAGAGACAGTCATCTGGATGGCCTCGAACAAGTCATGCCTGTAGTCATGACGGGCGATGTAGCGGTAGAAGTTATCCTGGTGTAACTCGGCAGGATTGGGGACCTTGTTGTGTTATCTGGAGAACGGATGGTAATGGATCCCCATGGCATGAGCTAACCTGTCGTTGCTCATCTTCCGCATGTGACCGCCAAGCCGGAAAGTGACACCGGTGTGGCATTCGCGAGCCGCCTTGGGGTGGTACTTGAAAGTGGAGTAGAACTCCCAGATCAACTCCATGTAGGTGGAATCTCTGGTGTTCAGGAGAACCCAAAGTGAGAGTGGCAGATGGCAGTAGTCATCGCAGCGAGGCAGTGGAGCTGGTGGAAGACCCCAAACTCGAGGTTATGGTGGCGGTGAAACACCCCGTTGATGACCTTGGAAACTGGTTAGCATAATCGGGGTGAAGGCGCAGGTCCTGCACGTATGGGTGCGCGAGAGACATTATCCTGCAAAATAAACAAACCAAAAGTGGAACCAAGAGAAAATCCTGTTAGGACCGCAAGTAGGGGTTCTATAGTACCCCCACACTCAAGGATCACTTAGGTAAGCAGTGAAGCACAAACCAGTCAATTCGCAGTAAAAACACGGCAAAACAACCATAGTTCAAGCAAGAATCATCGCAAAATCGCAGCATACAGGTAATCAGGCACCTAAGCCGCATTAGAAAACCACATCAACGACATCCCTCACCCTATCCTAGTTCAATCAGGCCAATTAGTCCACAGTTCTCGGGCCTAACATCTACAATTCGATTTTCAAGAAATTACAAGAATTATTCGGGACACACCTGAAAACACAAGTAGGAATGTAGAGGGACGCGAGTAGAGGGCGAGGTATGCGAAACCACACAAATATCGGCCCCGGAGGTCTCGCCGGAAATTCGCAGGCGGCGA